CCCCCCCGCCGCTCCCATGCACGCATGTGTGCACGCTCTCTCTCTCTCAAATAAATAAATAAATCCTTAACAAAAATAATATTCCTTTGTGTGTATATATATATATATACACACATCACATCTTTATCCATTCACCAGTCAATGGTTACTTGGGTTGCTTCCATAATTTGGCTATTGTAAATAATGCTGCAGTAAACATCAGGGTGCATATGTCCCTTCGAATTGGTGTTTTCATGTGGTAATCCTATTTTTAGTTTTTTGAGGAACCTTCATACTGTCTTCCACAGTAGCTACACCAGCTTGCATTCCCACCAACAGTGCACGAGGGTTCCTTTTTCTCCACATCCTCCCCAACATTTGTTGTTTCTTGAGCTTTTGATTTTAGCCATTCTGACAAGTGTGAGGTGATATCTCATTGTAGTTTTAATGGTGATGAGTGGTGTTGAGCATCTTTTCATGTGTCTGTTGGCCATCTGTATGTCTTCTTTGGGGAAATATCTATAATGTCTTCTGCCCATTTTTGAATTGGATTATTTGTTGTGTGTGTGTGTATATGTTATAAGTTCTTTATTATTTTGGCTACTAGCCCTTTATCAGATATGTCATTTTCAAATATCTGTTCCCATTCAGTACGTTGTCTTTTTGTTTCGTTGATTGTTTCCTTTGCTGTGCTGGAGGTTTTTGTTTTGATGTAGTCCCAAGAGTTTATATTTACTTTTGATTCCCTTGCCTCAGGAGACATATCTAGAAAGATGTTACAGCTGATGTCTGAGAAATTACTGCCTCTGCTCTCTTCTAGAATTTTTATGGTTTCAGGTCACACATTTAGGTCCTTAATCCATTTTGAGTTTATGATTGTATATGGTGTAAGAAAGTGGTTCAGTGTCATTCTTTTGCATGTAGCTGTCCAGTTTTCCCATCACCATTTGTTAAGGATACTGTCTTCTTCCCACTGCATATTCTTACCTCCTTTGTCAAAGATTAATTGACCATATAATCGTGGGTTTATTTCTGGGCTTTCCATTCTGTTCCATTGATCTATGTGCCTATTTTTGTGCTTGTACCATACTGTTTTGATTACTACAGTTTTGTAATATACTTGAAATCTGGAATTTTGATACCTCCAGCTTTGTTCTTTTTTTTTTTTCAAGATTGCTTTGGCTATTTGGGCATCTTTTGTAGATTCATACAAATTTTAGGGTTATTTGTTCTAGTTCTGTGAAAAATGCTGTTGGTAATTTGATAAGGATTGCATTTAATCTGCTTTGATCCATCTTTGGTTGGATCAAGATTGGATCCAATCTTTGATCCAAAGATTGCTTTGAGTAGTATGGATATTTTAACAATATTTGTTCTTCCATTCCATGAGCATGGAATGTCTTTCCATTTATTATATTTTCCTACTTTTAAACATATGTTCTCCCCCCAGTTCTTACATTTAAAATTTCTGAATGGAAGAAAACATTACATAAAATGAGAAGAAAGAAGTATGAAACTCTCTTTGTTCCCACATGGTTAGTCAGTTTGTTCATTTGCTCTTTTAGTTCCTCAAATATTTATTAACAACCATGTGTATGTCAAGCAATGTTCTAGATTTTGTTGGGAACAGGGCAACAACTAGAGCTAAATCATACTCTTTAATGGGAGGAAACAGACAATACTACTCACAAATGTATGAAGAAATAGGAAAAATATCAGGTAGTGATAATGCTGTACAAAGCCTCAAAATAAAATGTTCTGACAGGGAAGGACTGGGTAGTCTACAAAGGTAGGTCACTCTGAAGAGATGACCTTAACCAAGAGACTTGAGTAGCAACAGGGAACAAGCTTTGTGAAAATTTAGGGGAGTGTGCTTATTGGCACAGGTGAGAATGGTCTGGTATGAGATGAGGAAGAGAGAGGTAAGGGCCAACGTAAAGGTTATGGATGGGAAGCCATTAGCAGGCCTGAAATAGGGGAGTGATCTGCCCTGGTGTATTGGTTTAAGCCTCTGTGAATAGCTTAAACATAAATAGCAGGGAGTTGGAGCAAGTGGGGGCCAGGGAGAGCATCTAGAAGTTATTTGAATATTTACTTTTACTAGCACTGTTTATTGAACAAATTCTACAGTAATTTAAAATTTCACTTTTACATTAAATCACATATCTATGTTAAATCATTTTATATTAAATCATATATATATATATATAAATCAGGTATGTTCGTGGACTTTCTGTCCACTTTCACTGATAAGTGTTTACCTATACCTGAGTCAGAGCCACACTGTTGTAATGATTGTAGCTTTTGGAAGTCCATTTAAATATCTGTTAATGTTTGTCCCACTCCTCCAGTACCACCAAAAATTTTCTGGTTGACTCCCATGCATTCTATGTTTTAGAGTCATTTTACCTATTCCAAAATGAAATGCATTGACATTTCATTGGAATCACATTAAATTAATGCATTCATTTAGGGAGTACTGACATCTTGATAATGCTGTTTTATTATCCAAAAACTCTGTGTGTGTGTGTGTGTGTGTGTGGTTTTTTAATTCTCTAACCCTTTAGGAAAGTTACATAATTGTAGTGATTCTAAATTGCACATTTTTTTACTTTTTGGAGCTATTGTAAAAGGAATAATTTTGTATTGCATTTTCTGTTGTAAAATTTTGTCTCTAATTGTAACTATCTACTTAATGATCTTCTATTGTTACAGTGACTCCTCGGGTGATTCTGTAAGACTAGACAAATAATACAAGCAACAATCATAAAAATAACATTTATTGAGTGCTTACTACATGCCAGGCACTCTTCTAAGTGTTTTACTCACAGTAGTGCTTTGTCCCCTTTTACATATGAGGAAACACGCACGTGTCTGATACTACCAGCCAGTAAATAGTGATGCTGAGGTTTGAACCCACGTAGTCTGGTTCTAGATCCCATACTTTAAACCACTATACAGTATGTCCTGTAGTGGTGAGGATTTTTATCTCCTTTGTATTATTTATACTTCTCATTTTAATTTCTTTGTTTGGTTATGTAATTCCAGATATGTTTCTGACATTTATGTGATTTTTTTTCTCCCTCCTCCCCAGGTCTTGGGCTTGCCTTCAACTTGAATCC